TTGTAAACGAAACAAATGTGTTGTTCAAATGTCGGTTAGAGATGACATACTGAAATGTGTGTTCTCTAACTTGTGCGAGAATGTAACAAAGAAAACTTGTGCCATGCGTTCTCATGGCAAACGATTTGCAGTGTAAATGCTTTCTACAATTTTCTTTTTAACAGATGATGCAATTTTAATACGTTTTAATGCTATAGGATACCTTATAGTTATATAGAGGTCAAGTTAAACAGCAATTTTCAAGTGAGTGTCTAAAGTCACGTGGGATTTTTTTGGTTTTGCTTTACTTCGCGATGTGATTGGTGTAGACATCTCACGCCACTTTTTCAACCAATCAGATTCAAAACTAAAACCAATCGCGACCGCGTTTTCCCGCGCTTTCACCGGTTGCCGGATTCTACATGAGTTCTCATTGGCTGCCCTCAATATTTTCCTTTGTTGTGGTTGGTGGTTGTGATTACTTTTGTTTTGGTTTTACGTCACTCGATTGAAATGCGCTCTACTACTCACGACTCAGATTTAAGGGTTCTTGCTTTCAGTGGCCAGACCAATCAATTTGAACACGAATTTCTTTTCTTTTGATGGTCTATTTTTCAATCAAAATTTGTTCAGAATAAAAATTGACGGATTGACTGATTTAGCCGAGCAGTTCTAGTAAGTAACGAAATCATTGTAAATGGACCGCTGGATCTGGCATGCCAGTTCTGATTGATAATAAGAAAATAGCTTTTAAGTTGGCGGAAGTGTGTACATTTTAGATGGTCGTAAATTTCATCCAGCTGCACGTATATGACAGTCATGACTCTGTCCTTCGTTTCATTCGTAGCGCAAACCTCCAGGGATATTTTTTAACTTATTTAGAAGAATCGGCTTATCCCAACCAGGAAAACCACATTAACAAAAAAAATTTATATTTTCGTTAGGATTTGGAAAGTGGCTGGAGTTCACTGGAAATGTTTACAGAAACTAAGAATCCTTGATATGTTTTAAAGTTTCAGTAAACCACATGTTAGTCCGTGCAATTGTAATTTTAAATTTGACAA